GCGAGTTTATTACTCACTGGCAAACATCTTGACACATTACCTTATGGAAACTCTTATCCTTATGGTGTCTATCTGCGAACTCAAAGGGAATACTCTTTGCTTTAACCAACTGCAACTCGGACAAAACGAATACGGAAAATTATATCGAATTTCACTAATGAGATTCTAAAACCAGTGCTTGAAATTTACCTACTTAATTATGTGCGCTACTTCCCATAGCACAAATTTTTGGAGGGTTCGCACTAAAAAGGTGTTTAAAGAACAGCTTTTCAAACGTTACTGTGCCTATACCGTTTCGATTACTCAATTATTTCCATGAACATGCCCTGTATACTTCTAAAAGTTAAGTTTACTCAGGCGACATGACTTATCATTTTTCTGAATCTGCGCTCCTTTGGGGTCCCAAACTACAAGGGGACGAGTATAATCCAACACCTGATCGAAGGACACATTTCAAACATATGCTTCAGCAGTGGATGTACACCGATCCAATAGATTCGCGCAGTAAACAAGATCCTTTTTGGTGGCAAAGACCGCGAACAGGACGCTAACTAAATGGCTGAAATGTATAAGAGGCTAATGTATAAGTCCACCCACACTCTTTGTCGTCTTACCCCTAATATATATATATATGTGTGTGTGTGTGTGTCAAGTAAGCGTTTGACCCCCACTATTGTGACTAGGGTCTCACTGGATCACATTTCGTCCGCACACCAGCTTGCTACTGACGATAGCGAACGTTGTGCCCAATGACACATGACAATTTGAACGTTGTTACCAACGACGCCCACCGTGTGCTCCCCATCATGGTGAGAGCAGGGATGGTGACGCGTGCGTTAACTAGTTAATAATGATAGAAGACTTGCACAACATCTACTTCACTCTCTCCTCCCTCCCCACCTGGACTCGGTGTCAAGACAGGGTCCGGAAGACCGGAGGCAAGGTAAGGCACTGGTGGATGGCACCGTCGAGCCCGCAACTTGGCGGTTTACCTCCTACCCCCTGATTCAGACAGCAAATGGCCAGGTTTTTTGACCGACAACAACAATGGGGGACGGCAGAAGGTACATTGTGTGCGACGTCTGTCAGCAACGGGGTCTGCCACCGCACCCCGAAATGTTGGCATTTGTTTTAGTGCACACATCCGATAACGCCTGCCAGAATCCGATATGGTCCCGTTTTGGTTCAGCGCATCTACCATGCGGCCCGTCTGGGGGGCTCACACAGACACACACACACGAGAGTTTGATCATCGGTTTCGACGATGTCCAACGTGTGCTGCGCAGCAAGGCGGAGCAGGGACGGTGGCTTGCCCGTGGGTTAGTTTAAAGTGATAGTAGACTTGCGCCGCTCCTACCGCACTCTCTCTTCCCCACTCCCCACCTGGACGCGTTTTCAAGACAGAGTCAAGAAGACTGGAGGTGGGCGGAAGACGCAGATGGACGGAGCCGCACCTAGGCGTACCACCACAGCCCCTGGTCCACACAGCATATGGCCAGGATTTTTCGTCAAAAATAACGACATTCGAAAGGGGCCAGAGCGACGAGGATGACTGGGCAGCCATGCCTACCACTTGTATACCCAGCGGAAGCGCAGACGCGTCGACAGGCAGGGAACCAGGTGTCAGGGAACTGCCAACATATACCAGCCAACGAGGGCCATGGTTTGCTGATCATGGCCTGTAAGATGTCCCAATGCTGACCCTAACATTAACACTCGCAAATCTGGCATGTGACCCAACCCTAGCCCTCCTGGCCAAAAGCAACACAGCCCTAACGCTGGCTTTCCTAACTCCACCCCCAAAGCTTATTCAAACCACCATGCTTTTGTTTTAGCTCATTAATCCAATACACTGCTCGAAAACTTCTTTCCGTATATCAACTACGATTCTATCTCTGTGGCGTTTGCGGTTGTCTGGTATTTAGTAGTAAAAGCATCGTTTTCTCATCATAGAGTCCTCTGCTGGCTTGATAAATGCATTTTTTGCCTTCCTACACTTCTGTTAAACGATTAACTTAACTAATGTTCATAAGGACTTGGGAGGATGGCACTAGTTCTTCCCCCAACAGAGATTAGTTGCACGTGTACGTACTCATGTTGGAATAGCAGGAAGGAGTTCTCGTCCGGTGAATTCAGCACAATGACAATTCCGTATTTCAACCAAACATTTTAAGACCACTTCCATATGCTAGTTTATTATCTCTGGGCGACATGCTATGTATCCTCAAACGCAATTTGGCTAATTGTTAGCCAAAACTTTCATCGTCTCGAAGAATTTACGTCATAGGCCGGATGAAGTTAGATATATAAACGTGTCAAGTAAGCCTTTGACTCTCACTGTTGTGGACACAACAGTGTTATTTGACACGACGTTTGCTGTCGTCAGTGACAAGCTGGCGGGCGGACTAAATGGGATCGAGTGAGATCCTAAGCACAACAGTGAGGGTCAAAAGCTTACTTGACATGTTTTTATGCCTCACTTCATATGGTCTACGACGTACTGATGGTCGGTACCGATCGTGAAACCCTCGTTCGGGTCCTTGCTTAGTTTATATATATATATATATATACTCAAAAGCTTAATTTCGTCCTCCGTCAGTTAACGAAATATTAGGAGCTACTTCTCGAGCATAAATCATTGATGAAATATGGCGGCATTCTCATGGGCACTGACTTCAGGAAGTAATTGAATGACAAAGTGTAGGAGATACCGTTTTCGACGATTTAGACCAGGCCATTCGTCTTACCCACTTAGATCGACAAAAGACCCTCGCACGCTAAAAACGAAATCTCCCAAAGGTACGCCTACTGGTTTTCGAGAATGTCGTCACCGGATGTATCAATGTACACCGTCAAGGCGGCTGTTAGTGTCGGTGTGAAACGGTGGATGCGTTTTAGTGTTTACGCTAAAACGATAAATATCTGTGCTGTTTAAAAAAGTCGAATGCTACCTTAGGTTTCATCTGTAAAACGTACGGGCGAAAATAGACAAGTTCAATCATGAAAATGGAAATGGACAGTCCAATCGCAAACACCGCATTAATAGAATGCGATTCGGGAAAATGAGCCTAGTG